GGATGCGGTGTCGGCGCCCACCCCGGACCGGCCTCCAGAGGAGGCGGCAGCGGCGAGGAAGGAGGACGCGGGGGCGCCTGAGGCCAGGCCGGAGCCCGGGCCTGTCCGCCGGGATGAGCCCGAGGAGGAGGAGGACGATGAGGATGACCTCAAGGCCGTGGCCACCTCCCTGGACGGCCGCTTCCTCAAGTTCGACATCGAGCTGGGCCGCGGCTCCTTCAAGACGGTGTACAAGGGGCTGGACACGGAGACCTGGGTGGAGGTGGCCTGGTGCGAGCTGCAGGTGCGTGGTGGGCCCTGCGTGTCCTCCTTCCGTGCCTGGCCCCCTGGCCTGAAGCCGCTCTCACCTTTGTGTGTGACCGGCGCGTGGGGCGGGGCGGGGGGTGGCTCCGTGTGGTACCCATTGCGGGGTGGAGGTGGGATCTCCTGGTGTGTGGCCTCCGAGTCTGGCACAACGTGGCCCACAGGAGTGTGAGCACTTGGAGGGTGTGTCTCTCACGGCCCCTCCCTACTCGGAACTCAGGGCTGTACTGACCCGGGCGGCCCAGGTCCAGGCGGTGTGGATCCTGTGTCCGTGCAGAAGTGTGGGGGCTGCTCTTTAATGAGCACCGTCCAGTCTTGCCAGGTGTAGGTGCCCTGGCCTGGGGTCCCTAAGGGGCGGCTCCTGACCCAGGCCTGCTTAGGGTGGGCTGGTGGTCCCGGCTCTGGACGAGGCCTGGAGCTGCTGTGAGTGCTTCTCGGAGCTCCCAAAGCCCATTTGTTCACAAAGTGGGTGTGTGAGGTCTTACAACTAAGTCATGCTGAAGGCAGATGGGTGGCTTTTTTTTTTTTCTTGCAAAGGCTCTGGGCATGCATTTTTCATCACCTTGCCCTTGCGATGGCTGTGTCAGTCCCAGCCCTGGAAGATTATATAAACCGTAACCCGAGCTGCCCTGGGCGCCGTGGCAGCCTGGGCCATGCCTGTCACAGTGGGTGTTTACTGGCCCTCTGTCTTGCGGGGGCAGCTGTCCAGCATGAGGCCGGCCTCGGTGGTGTAAGCCGACCCCAGCGCCCGTAAGGCTAGCCCGGCCTTCCTGGTTTGACGCAGGCCACTGCCACACTGCAGGCCGCCTGCCTTTTGGTTCAGAAAAGGGATTTGGTTGCTCTGTCCTCCGCTCTGGCTAGCTGTGTGTGTATGTGTGTGTGTGTGTGTGTGTGTGAGAGAGAGAGAGAGAGAGAAGGAGCGAGAGCACGCGCACGCTGGACTAGGCTGGTGGTGCTGGCCTGCCCTC